AAACCCTAAACTTTAAACGCTGAACCCTAAACCCTAAACCCTGAACCCTGAAGCCTGAGCCCTGGTGAGGGAGCGTTCAGGGTTTAGGCTCCAGACTCCCCGAAGCCTGTCAGCCTCTCGGGGGAGGGGGGGTCTTCGTACTTTCTGCTGGGGGGATGCCTCCCGAATCTCAGCATGCCCGACATGATTTGGAAGGTTCTGGCAGCGCACTTCGCTGTTCCCTCAAGCTTCAGAGGTAGCTATACACCGAAGCCCCTGACATTGAAATAAATGTCCTTGACTCATTGCAGCCAGAGCAGGGTGTCATATGAACAAGGATCCGTTTGGACAGGGCTTGCGCTTGCCTCAGTAGATCGCTGCGACGACTAAGTGGTTGTATCCGCCATACTCTAGTCCCCATATAACTATGCTGCATCACGCTTTTGCCGTCTGCCACGGGCAGTGATTGTCATTGGTCCCAACATGTGACACGAAGCTTGCAAGCCATCCCTGCGTCAGTTGGTTCATCGTTGAAGACAGGAGCGGAGCCACATGTTTTAGGATTTCATACAATGTCCAAGTTGTTTGTCTCGTTATTCCCGTGACCTTGGCCACATGACATGCACAGGATCAGGGCACCATCCTGCTTCTGATAGCTTCCTAAACCCTAAACCCAAACACTAAACCCTGAACCCCAAACCCTAAACCCTAAACCCTAAACCCCAAACCCTAAACCCTATATAACCCCCAAGTGTCCCTTTAAGGGTCGCCGCAGCTTTTACCCAGACCCGAAGCAGCTCGTGGACGACTCCAGCCTGCAAAGCGATGGCCTTGCTGCAAACGTCCTCCTTCAGGCTGTTGACACTTTGGCTTGGGGTTTAGGGTTTAGGGTTTAGGGTTGAGGCCTTTAGGGTTTATAGGGTAAGGCTTCAGCTTAGGCTTCACCCCGTCTTGACACTCTTTCTGGTGCTTTGCCTGGGGTCCTGTCTCCTACGAGCCTAGCACGTAGCTCTCACAGTATTTTTACAAGCGGTCGCGACGGTTATGTTAAAGTTGAGGTCCACTCGTTTCTCAAATTGGGGACCTTTGGGAGGGGCTCAGAGAACTAGCGAAAACATCAGCTGCATCTGGACCACTTTGGATTGCCATCGCTTCCCGGAACCTCTTCCTAAACCCTACCTAATATAGGAGCCTTACTGATTAGAACAGTTTTGGGGCATTAATAAGGAACCTTAAGGAGTAGTACTGGTAATTATGCCGATCCCGAAACCCTAGGCCCAAAATCGACATGGGTATACGCTTGTTGGAGATCTGAAAGGCACATCAAACCAGGGACCTCATCGCGGGCGAAAAACGTGGATTTCTTACACGTAGAACGTAGGGCCTAGGGATACCTTATTTAGGTGTATATAAAGGCATCTACAGATCTACTATCAAGGGTCTACTGCGGCCCCGCCCCATCTCTTCTGAATGCGGGCAGCCCTTTCCTCAGTGCTCTCCCAGAAATAGATGACCCCCAGGATTCCGGGCCTCATCTTTTCCTCGCGGGACCTTTAGAAGAAAGCCCAAAGCCCCGAAATCTAAACTTGCGGCCCCCGGGCCTGCAAGACCAAGCCCGAAACCAAGAAGCCCTGCACCCTACACACCACAGCCACAAAGCCCAAGCAACCCAAGCGTCGAAGCCCTAGAAGTCCCAAAGACAAGAAAAAGAACCGTAAACCAGTCTTGAAAGACCTGTATAGCCCTGACAAACAACCGAAAACTAATCCTAGGTTCGGCCTTCGAGATGGCAATAGGCAGGGCACTCATCGGGATGCCCTCCATGACCTTCAAAGCAAGCTTTGGCAAGGGCTTTCTTGGGCGCTCTACGAGTAAGCGGTTTAAGAGAAGGATCTACAAAAGGTCTTATGACGGACTGGCTTCGGGGTTTGAGGCCGTGCATGTTGGGGTTGGGGGTTCGAGGGGTTTCCGGGTTTGAGGGTTTTGGGGCTTTGGAGTTTGGAGGGATGGTTACACGGGCTTTACACTGGTCTTTGAGGTTGGACGAACGAAGTGCTAGAAGGAGCTTTGGGGGTTTAGGGTTTAGGGTTTTAAGACTTGGGGGTTCCGGCTCCGGAACACAACACTTGTCGGCTTCGGATTACGGATTTTTGTCAGAACTGTTCATCTTGAGAGCTTAGATGCCTCCTGAGGTACTGGAAAAATTTCGGATTCTAAACCCTGAGCCCTGAACCCTAAGCCCTAAACACTAAACCCCTCAACCCTAAGCCCTGAACCCTTGAAGTGGATTGTGGATCTAGCGTTCACGGCTGCAGGGTGGTGGGGTTGAGGATGTGATTTTGGAAGATCTGAGGGCTTAGCAGTTGGTTTAAGGTCTAGGGTTTGGGGTTTAGGGTTTAGGGTTTAGGGTTTAGGGTTTAGGGTTTAGGGTTTAGGGTTTAGGGTTTAGGGTTTAGGGTTTAGGTAGGTCTAGGGTTTGGGGACATACTTTGCGAAAATCGAGAACCGAGTTCAAAGAACGGCATCTAAGAATCAAACCTTGACATCGAAACCTCAATACCCCAAATCGATCTCAGCTTTATGTAGGCGCACTGAGACATAGAACAGGGTTTTGGCAAATTGGGTTGCTTCTTTAGTGTTGGATGGAGACTATACGCAGACACATACTAGTTGAGGTTCGATGGAAATCCAGCTTCAAAGTTGGCGAACCCTGAACTTGTACTCAAAAAGTCACAGAACACCCCGCTACCAGAAACAAGAAAAGAATAAATATTTTAATTCGAACATCCCCACCCTACAGATAATGCAGTTGGTGGCCACACTACTGACTGGCGTTGCGGTCGTGGGGTCCCCGGTCACGTTACAAAACACAAGTGTTCGATTCAGGTCACTCGACAACCTATGGGGTCACACCGACTGGCGATACGGACGTGGGGTCCCGTACACGTAACGAAACACGTGTTCGATTCAGGCCGGTGGACGATCCATGGGGTCACACCAGTGACCGGCGTTACGGACGTGGGGTCCCCGTACACGTAGCGAGTTGCCTACTCTACTACTAGGCTATAGAACTCCAAACAGTGTATACATACCTGGTTTCATAACCCACCAGCAGCTGCAAGAGCAGCAGGTAAGCTTCATTTACAGGTCCATCAACCAAGGTGATCTATGCTACAAGCCGTAGACCGGAAACCCTTCGCCGAATGGCCCCCCCTTTTCCCCGAAGCTGTCGAAGCGTGCACGTCGTCAGCGGCGAGAAGGATGCCATGAAGCACAAGCTGCCCCATCCAGCTGCACGCCAAAGAGCTCGAGGATCGATTTCCCAAACGACTTAATATCCTCTGCCATGGCATCGAAATCAGACATGGTGTGCTCATGATCAAGCCGCCGCCCTCCATCAATGTGGGAAAGGCTAGGGTGAAGCTGCGTGGACAACACCACGTGTGCCCCGTCACACTTGATCTCCAACTCCTGCCGCGAATGTCGTGTTGGGAGTGGTAAATCCCCGTCATCAGCCTGCAGTAGACCACTCTTCAGCACGAGACCTTTCAGAACATGAAGGCTTGCGGCAGACAAATGGCACTCTTTTCGGAGCTTCTTCCCCCGAAAGAAGCCTCCTTGCAGGAAGTCCCGCGCGAATCGAAACCTTCCGCTGCTGCAGAACTCAAACTCGTGCAGCTCGTGATCATCTTGGAAGTCTCTTCGTGCAGAATACTTGACATAGAAGTCGTCTGACACTTCGACCATCCCTCAGAAGCCGCGTGGCCCCGGGGCAGTGCAGGATTTTCGGGCAAGGGTTTGGGCCTATTTCTGCTCCCAGGTTGATGGTTCAGAGTGTCAAAAACCATGCCTCAATTAAAGGGTTTAGGGTTTAGGGTTTAGGGTTTTGCGAAATTCTTAAAAGTATCCCGTTTGTAGTCCCGACGAACGGTAACGGGATACTATCCCATGCCCCAAAACCCTTGTCTAACCATTAAGGCCCCTACTTGGACCGACTGACTTGGGGTCTTATCATAGATCCCAAACCGTACAGGCCCTTGGCCAAGAGCTTAACAAACCCTAAACCCCAAACCCGAATCGGAGCTAGCTACAAGCTGCCGATCTTCAGGGCATCAACTTCTTTTCCAGTAACCACTTCATAATACGGGCAACCGTCTTCCTACGACTCAGCTTCAACACGGAGATCCGAAAGAAACCGAGAACAAAAAACGAAAGACCCCATACAGAACCTTAAACCCTAAACCCTAAACCCACACCCCTGCAGGTCTGCAAGAAATCCTTAAACAAAGCCGCCCCGCCCCCAACTCAGACCGTTCGGAGAGTCAAGAATCTCAGCTCAAGCGTAGTTCGCTCGTTGCCGTCGGTACACAGATGCTTCAAGATCTCATGGTCCGACAACCTTGAGCATTACAGTAAAGATTTTTCGGTGTCTTTAGGTTCTGATACGGTTTGCAGGGGGTTTAAGACCCTAAACCCTACACCCTAAACCCTAAGCCCTAAACCCAAAGCCCCTAAACCCCAAGCCCTAAACCCTCAACCCTAGACTACTTGCCAAATAGGCTTCAAGATCTGAAGGCCGACAGCTTCAAGTAAAAGAGGGGGCCTTGAGGATGAAACGAATTAAAACGTGTCGGGACATTTCGCAAGGGGGCTTTGCGGGTGCATTGTAACATAAATACATTAAAGAAACTCCAAGGAATGATATTACTAAGGGTTAAGGTTTAGGGTTTAGGGTTTAGGGTTTAGGGTTTAGGGTTTCGGGCTTATGGGGTTGCGGGCTTTGGGTTTCAGGGTGTAGCGCGTGGAAGGTAGAGGGTTTTGGGTGTAGGCACTACCGCCGAGTTGCACTGGTTCGAAGATTTAGGGCTGGGGTCTGGGGCGAAGGATACAGCCAGCTAGCAAGTCCCTAAACCCTAAACCCTAAACCCTAAAGCCTAGACCCTAAACCCTAAACCCTAGACCCTAAACCCTAAACCCTAGACCCTAAACCCTAAACCCTAGACCCTGAACCCTAAACCCTAAGTCAACAGT